CAAAGGCAGTCTTGTCCACAAATAACCGGGCTACAAAGGCAGTCTTGTCCACAAATAACCGGGCTACAAAGGCAGTCTTGTCCACAAATAACCGGGCTACAAAGGCAGTCTTGACCACAAATAACCGGGCTACAAAGGCAGTCTTGACCACAAATAACCGGGCTACAAAGGCAGTCTTGGCCACAAATAACCGGGCTACAAAGGCAGTCTTGGCCACAAATAACCGGGCTAGACGACATTACAAAGGCCATCAAACAGAACAAAATATCTACAACAAAAGCCTTTCACACCGCCCTTGGCGGGAAATGGCATCTCCCCATGCGGTCCAACGAAACAAACTACACAAAAGATGCAGGAGGAGAAGAAAAAAATAACGCACAATAGCATCAACTTGTCGTCTGTTAAGACAAATTGATATAAATCATTGTGCAAAATTTGGAGAATCTATGTACAATAGTTAAGGAGATATTATGACAATAAGTTTCGGCTTGCACTTTTGACCACACAATAGTTGTGTGTGTGTGTGGGTTGTTGGGGGACGGGGGTGGGGGTTGAAGGAGACTTGAGTGTGAGTAGCGTATAGAGCTGAGAAAGCATGTGGGTACTCCATTGAGAGGACATGCGCAGCCTACTACATGTACTTTTGTTTACGCTACTGGGTAGCCCACTCATGTTATCCTCAGCTGATTCAGGTCAAGTGACGGTTCCTCCGAAAGAGCGTAGGTCCACTCAAGCATAGGTTATTATGTGAGTGGTTTCATGTTGAAGTCAGGAAGTCGATAAAAATAAAGAAATCGAAGAAATGGATATTTCACCGTCCATAGAGCATTTTTTTTATCGATGTTTTTTCCTCAACTCCGCTATAAACATCTAAAAATCCAATTTATTTGTGGGTTATACTGAAGCCCTTTGGTCAAATGAACAGAATTGTAAATAGTTTCCCTGGACAATCAAGTGTTGGACGTTAACCAACTTTTGAAGCCATTTTCTCCCTAATTTTTCCCCCTGGCAACGAGACTCCCGTACCCCCTTCTTCCTTTACTTTTACTTTTTTCTTCCGCTTGTACGGGTGGGTGTCGCGGGGAGACACAGGCGTCTGTCTGCAGCAAGACGAGTGGCCTGTAGAGGGACATCCCGTGAGCTCTGAGGGTGTCTGCCACAGGTTCACTCCATCGTCGCCTTGGTCTTCCTCTGGCTCTCCATCCAGAATATTTAATGTTGTATACTCTCAGAGCTGAATGGTTTGTACCTCCTTCAGTCGCAAATATCTCGACTCCTATCCAACATACGTAAAAAATGGATATTTTTACCATCAAAAGCAAGATAAGTGAACAAACGGTAAGATCATCATCATCCGGTGCCTTGCCGACTGGCGTGGGCGATCATGGACCTCCACTTCACTCTGTCTTGCGTTGCAGGAATGGTGTCTGTAGTTCTTGCTGCTCCTAGCCATGCTGTCATCTTGTCTAGTATCTTTTCCCTCTGTCTACCTCTGCCTCTATTTCCATCAAACTTGCCTGTTGAACGATAAGATACCCCCCCCCCTAAAAAAAGAACTCCAAGTGCTCCAAAAATTGAAGAGCGCCTGGTTCCACCGAGTCATGACACGTAGCATCTAAAACATTTTCCCACTACACCGTTCTGGGACTAGAGCAAGGGTGGTTGGCAGGTGTTCTGGTGTGGTTTGCTCCCCCTTTCCTATCAAACAACTGCTGTCCATATCTCTCCACCTTCTTTTCTGGGCTTGTTACTCCCTTGCAACACACCTCTAATCTTCGGCACTTGTATGACCTTATTGTGTTGCAAGTGCCGTGAAACACTTCACCATCATCATCAGCGATCATGGTTCTCCATTCATTCCTTTGCTCGGATGCTCTTAAAAAAGCTACGTTTCGCTGGTCTTTCCCCGTTACCCATTTGTTTAGGTTCCCTAAGTAGGTTGTTCTGAGTCTACCCCTTCCTCGTTTGCCTTCTATTTTGCAAGTGACAGCTAGATGTTCAAGACCTTTGTGTCTATTCAGGTTTTGAAACCCTTACTAAAGCAAAAAAGATGCTCGAGCCAACATGCACACCTGCTGCATTACAATGACGGCTTTTCTTTTCCCCTCATCCCCTCCCTCCCTCCTTCCCTCCCTCCTACCTCCCTCTCTCCCTCCCTCCCTCCCTCCCTCCCAGGTGGTGTCTGTGATGTCCTCCTTGGACCAGCGTCGTCTCATTCTCCTCGCCAAACAGGAGTGTTTCAAACTGAGCAGGAGACGAGAGAGGGAAATGCCGGGCAACAGTAAGTCAGCAACCATCTGGTCTGATCAAAACCAACATTTATTATTGGATTGTTTTGTTGTTGTTATTGTTGTAGTTGTTGTTGTTATTGTATTGTTTTTATTGCTGTTGTGGTGGTTGTTGTGATTGTTGCCGTTTTGTTTGGATGGTTTCGTTTGTCTTCGTTTGTTTGTTTATTTATTTTGTTTTGTTTTGTTTTGTTTTGTTTTGATGTTTTTTCTTGTTTCTTAGTTGTTTCTTTGTTGTTGGTTTTGGGAGAGGGGAGATAGAGTCTGACAGACCCCAACAATGATTCATTTTTAAGTTACAGGGCAAGCGTAAGGTTATTACAATATTGTGTTCAGTTTGGGGTTAAGATGAAGTTTAGGCTTATTATTAGGCTTAAGGTTAGGGTTTCAACGGTATCAGAAATGTTCAATATCACCCGGTTTCCGAGCATTTTGGCTCACAGACTTCGAAGTAACCCCCTTCAGTTAATAAATAGCAGGTAACGATTCCAGCAGTGTCAGTTGTTGGTTTTTTGTTGACGCCGCCGTGGTAGTCAAAGATCAAAGAACTTAGATCAAAGCGTGAGTTACTCTTATGTTTGTTTGTTTTAGTAAGGTTTTACGGCGCTCACAACTGCTTAACCCTGTCTGTACGCCCTGGAGTCATTTTGTACCCCGGTGTTGTATTCTTCACATTTTAGAATACTTCTTGTACGAAGATCTCTTTGAAACTTTCAGTATTTCTCAAAAACTCATTTTGACAAACCGTAATGCAAAGCGTAAGAATCGGATTAACGAGTAAATTTCCTCTTTGGAATGTGGTGGCACAGAGTTCCCCACGTCGTATGGATACGATAGTAAAACATGAAGTACGGGTAGGGTTAAGTGATGGC